CAGCCCTACGAGTGCGGGGAATGTGGGAGGAGGTTCCGCCTGAGACACCACCTGGTCCAGCACCAGAGGACCCACACCGGGGAGAGGCCCTACGAGTGCGGGGAATGTGGAATGAGGTTCAGCATCAGCTCCCAGCTGATCGTCCACCAGAGGACCCACACTGATGAACGGCCCTATGAGTGTGGGGAGTGTGGGAAGAGCTTCAGGAGGAACTCCCACCTGCACCGCCACCAGATGATCCACACGGGGATACGACCCTATGTGTGTGGGGAATGTGGGAAGGGCTTCCGTGACAGCTCTGACCTGATCATGCACCGGGCAATGCACACTGGGGAAAGCCCCTACATGTGCTCAGAATGTGGGAAGAGCTTCATGGAGAACTCCATGCTGAAGGTCCACCAGAGGATCCACACTGGGGAGCAACCCTACAAATGTGGGGAATGTGGGAAGGGCTTTAGGCAGAAAGGTAACCTTATAACACACCAGAGGATCCACACCGGGGAGCAGCCCTACAAATGTGGGGAATGTGGGAAGAGCTTTAGTCAGAAAGGTAACCTTATAGTGCACCAGAGGATCCACACTGGGGAGAGGCCCTACAAGTGCAGGGAATGTGGGAAAACCTTTCACCAGAGAACCAGCCTGAGTGTCCACCAGAGGACCCACACTGGGGAGAGGCCCTATGAGTGTTGTGAGTGTGGGGAGAGGTTTCAGAGCAGATACCGTCTCCTCAAGCATCAGAGGATTCACACAGAGTAGAGGCCCTTCCAGTGCTCCGATTGTGGGAAGGGCTTTAAGAAAAACTCCACACAGTCACACCTCAGTAGACCTACACTGGGTAGAGCCCCTAATAGTGTCCCAAGAGTGGGAAGAGCATATCCCAGACCTTTACAGTAAAGCAACAGGAAGAGAGGCAGGAGTAAGGGAAGCCCAACAAGTGCTCTGTGCGCGGGAGGACCTTTTGCGCTGCTCCAACTCCATCCCCCATTGGAGGACCCCCATGGGATGATGCACAGTGGCCCTCGTTGGGCAGAGACTTAGTGCTGGTGCTGAGTGATTCACTGGCTGGTGGTCTCCACATGTTCCTGGCTCTGTTTGGGCACCTGGATGCAAGAGGAGATGAAGGGGACATGGCCTTGGACAGTGATATGGGGAGTCATGGACATGGAAGGAGACATGGGTGACACGGGCATGAGTGGGTGTCGTGGTGTGTATTTTCGATTGTCATT